CTGCTGCCACGTCGTGCGGACTGCGCAAGTACGGCCAACTCTCGTCGGCCGTCCAACGATTTCCTCCGACCGATTTAACATGAAACAACATAGCTGACCATAACTTATCATAACATGACTAATCACGTATAAAACGGTCGAACAACATGAACATAATATACTAAGACATACACGACCGCGGCTTGCGCTACGTGCGTAGCCGACGGCTCCGGCCAACCCCTTGGACAACTAACGATTTCTCTCAGCAACTATAACATGAGTTAACTTAACTTAACATAACATGAAGAATTATACATAATTCGCTCGAGGGATTATGAACATGAATTAACAAAACTCGATAGGACACGGAATGGCCCGTGGCGTGCGCTACGTGCACAGCCCGACGGTTTTGGTTAACTTAAGGAAAAAAAATGACTTCCCTCGGCAAACTTAACTCAACTATACATGAAATAATATGTACTGATTGAATAAACAACAACTGCTCGGGAGTTGCCGAAAAGAATAAGACATGGTTCGGTAGGGCCTATATGGCGCCTACAAGAGCAAAACTTCAACTAAATGAACTTCAACTACAAAACTTCTTCATGCTTGACCTTATATGTTCTTAAAAATACTAAAAAAATGATCATACGATCTTACCTCTTCGGTTGCTCGTGAAAAGATATTAAGGTCCGTGTGCTCACTCGCAAGGCATCCGCGCTACGCCACTCTCGGCTACTACTTGGTATAGACTAAGAAAATGGAGAATTTGGTACAAAATGAGTAAAACTCCTTCTCCCCACTAATACTATGCGTATATACTAATTGAGGAGGTGGGAAAAACACATAGTTTAATTCTATGAGGACATTTGTCCCTAAATGGTTTAATGGTGGCAATAAGTAGCTTAAGCAAATAGCTTAGTCACCAAGACAATGGATTAGTCATCCCATAATATGTTTAGATAATGACACTTCAAGCTTATACATTATGGAGACAATTCCCTCCTTTAAATTGCTGACGGCAATTAAAATGAAATTTGAACAAATCATCCCATAATGCCACGACTTTACTTATTCTAAGCATGATTAATTAGTAATTAAGCATAATCTTTATGCTTAATTAATTACTAAGCATGACACTTAATTCCCAAAATTATTCCGAACGTAAACGTGACTTCGAAAATAATTTCAGGTAATCTCGATTAAATAATTAATTCCGAACTCATTAATTAAATAATCGAATCGGAATTAAATCTGGAAACTTATTCGATTACTGAAATAATTAACCGAATAATTTATCGGCTAATAGTCGAACTTGGAATATAACTAGCTGATTAACTTGAACTTGAACTTGAACATGAACATGATTATTTATTAACAAAGGCTAGCTTAAAACTAAAAGCTAGTATTTTCCTTTATTAATAAAACTCGGGGTGTTACATGTTTAATCAACCAAATCGTAAAAATAAGTATCACTCGAAACGATATGAACAATAAATAACATAACATCATCATTGAACAATCATTTCCATATCCCTAACGGAATAGGTTTAGTTCATCATGATTTTATCGACACAAACAACAATAATAACCCAAGCTATCATCGTACTTATATTAAAGTAACGATAACTTACGATTACTATTGAAAACTTGATGTCAATATATCACTAGAACTTCAACAAGATATAGAAATATCACTTACAAGATCATGTAAGTCATACATAAGAAGAAATTTTCATAAATGAAGAACTTTCAAGAGAAAGAAGAGAATTTTTACAAGATTTCTAACTATTATTCACTTATGAACTTGATGGATTTTACATGCATGGATCACCTCTATGTATAGCTGAGAATTTGGAGTAAAATATAGCTAGAAATCAGCTATAGGTAAGACTTAATCATCACCAAAATAACACTCCATCATCTTGCATTATGGAAGAAAAGACAACTGCAGAAATCTGCCTAGTAGTGCCGCTTCTAGGTAGAAGCGCCGCTACTATGTCGGCAACTTTGCATGTTGTTACGGTTTTCACTCGTTCGGGCTCGTTTGGACTCGGATTAAGTTCCGTTTTTACCTGTGTGCTGCTAATGAACCCCTCTTTCCAATGATATGATCATACCCAAAAAAATTCCAAAATCCTATTCTTCCGAGGTTTTCGACCTATGCAACTTTATTGAAAATAAAACGAAAAATACCGAAAAAAATATACAGAAACATAAACATTATTTGATTATTACAAATCACACAATAAATGATAAAACTACCATAAAACTTATAAAATGACTCAAAATGAGGATAAACGAATAATAAAATAATAACTAAAAACGTAACAAAAATAGGACAAACATTTTGGAGTATGAATAGACAATAGACAAGTTTATGTTGAAAATTGATCATCGACCAATTTGAGTGTAATATCCCGTTATTTTACTAGTATAAATCATGTTTTAGTTCCGATAAATTAATATTGTCGAGTATTAATTTTCGGAATTAATTATATTCAGTCGATATTACCCGAAATTATTTTCGACGTTCCGTGTACGTTCGGATTAATTTTGGAAGTTAAACATTATGTTTAATTAAATAATTAAACATAATTAGTGATTAATTCAAAATTAATCACAATTTAATATGTTAACCGTATGGAATTTTCCCAATAATCATTGAAAAAGCCGTACGGATTTTGTAAGGTATTTTTCCAATTTTTGTAAATAATCTTCCTAAGTAAGCATGTTTCCTTCTCATTTAGCCATGGCACGTGTCACCTTGAGAGGATTATGAGGGTGATTAGTCATCCCTAAAACTCCATATAATTTCCAAGTGTCATTAGCTTAGTTAAGCACATCATCACCTCATCACCTCATTGTTTCGGTTCATGTATAAAAAGTGGGAGTTGGGGCCGATTTTCTCCCAACATTTTCAGCTCTATAATTGTACCTTCTAAGTCTTTAAGTCCAACAATAGATAATCAACTTGCCTTAGTATTTCTTACCTCACGCACGGCAAGAACTCATCGCACACGGAAAGCACACGCGAAGAACCAAAGGAATTACGATCAGTTTTGGAAATTCCGACGAGCACTTGAGGAGGTATATTATCC